AGTCTGCAAAACTCTAACAAATAACAATTCGGCACCACAAGATAAGGTAGAGTTTTAAAACTACATGAATAGCACACTGCCATCTAGCGGTAATAATAAGTTAGCAACCAACGATTTATAAGCATAATGAAGGAATTTGGGGGGGGACATACTACATGTGTCGACTAAACATTGATCTTTCAAGGCACGTGACATACCCCCCCCCCCAATCACTTCATTATGCTTATAAATCGTTGGTTGCCAACTTATTATTATATTAGCGTAATATACTCCCATACTCAAGCACCTAGCGGTAGTAATGTCGGTAGCAGGATTTGGTAAGCCTAATAAATTATTCAACGCTTGTTTAGTAACACCCTCTCTCTCTCCCCTACTTTTCACAGCTTCTCACCTTATAATTAATGTTCCATTGTTTGTTGTCATGGTACTAGATTAGCTCATGATTAATGAGTTATTTACTCCTTTAACCACGAGACTCGATAAGGAGGTTTTTGATGTAAGGGATCGTGACATCATAAACTGTAATGGCGCAGATAAATTCTGTTTTCGTATCAGTTTAACTACCATCATTACATATTTTAATCAGTTTGTTACGGATGAAGATAAACAAAGTATCGATATATCCTGGTTGTTGTTGTTGTTTTTTTGTATGTAATACCTGAAATATGTTTTAATAGAATCATTGTCATTATTTTTCAATTAGTAGATTAGGTTTTCGTGCTCGTTTTTTATATATTCTGTGAGCAAAACAACAACAACGATATAAAAGGCACCATGTTGTTCTTTTCAACTGTTTTTTAATTATTTTATTAGAAATTAAATCGAAAAACATCCGCTAACAGATATAAGTGAAACTTATATGATACATTTGTGAAATATTTCTTCAAGTAGGTGATTGGGCGTGGCGTAGTGGTTAGTGTTTCAACTACGAATCGGAAGGTCCAAGGTTCGAATCGTGATACTCCGTTGAACATGCTCCACACTTTATGTTATAATCATGAAAGTCAGTACCACTATTCAGTGAAGAAAAGCGACTGGTGCTGGTGAATGTTTCCCTCTCTCTCGTGAGTAGTTCTAAATTAGGAATGGCTATGCCTGAGTCTTAGGGAGTCTCTGACCTGACTGTTTAACCCGTGTATCTCATAAGGCACTTTTCAGGTTAAAACTCCAGTTACTGGATGGACCCATAACACACATAAGTCATCGTTTTCTTTCCGTTTTGTTTCAAAACAAGTAAGTGGGTGAGGCTGGGTGAGGGCAGGAATAACTAAACTTTATAAAATAAATACCAGCTAAAAAAAATCTATTTGAACACACTACGTTTGTATTTCCGAAACACAGAGAATGAAATAGGGGAAGTCTACGTGGTAAGAATGGTGAAAATTTGTTTTTAACTTTATTTATTTATTGTTTAGCTATCCCAGTTTTTATATAAAACAAAAATTTCTTTTGTAATTTGAAATATTGTAAATATATAATTTTGTGTCATTTACGTTACTCTGAAGAAACTGAAATTATTTAACTGAGAAAAAAGTATTTTGTAAAGTTTGATTCTGTGTGAAATAATACAATTATTTAATTATGTTTTGTATTTCAAGACAGGTTGTAGTACTATTTGATAACAATTACGATTGTTTTTAAGTTGAAAAATAGTTTAAATGAATCCGGAAAGTGTAAGTTTTCTATATTTTGATAAGTTTAAAAGTGGTCATTGCTAAATGTCTTACGGTAAATAATGTTTATAGTTTGTAAAAATATTTTTATGTCTTTTTACTTGTAGGTTATAGATATTAGCTGTTGTGTATAGCAGAGAAGCTGTGTTTAACTGAAGTAACGCCACCAACATAATGATTAGTAAGGCTTGCTCTATTATCACTGTTGTGTTAATTGTATTAACTATGGCTGAGACTAAGTGTCCACTAGAGTGTGAATGCCAAGTTGTAGCTCATCGGAAGATAGTGACCTGTGATGAAGGAGGGATGACAGAAATTCCAACGAACAACATGGACAGAGATACTCAAGTTCTCACAGTGACCTCTCCTCCAGATAACCCAAATTTCTTGACCATTGGTCGAATCTTTCTGGAATTCCCCTATCTGGAGGAGATTCATCTCACTAACTCCCACGTTCCAGCTATAGGAGACAGTTCTTTCTGGCCTGGAAAGCGGATGAAAATACTCAATCTAAGTCACAATAACATCACCTTATTACACGACCAAGATTTTAATGGTCTTTCCAATCTAGAAGTGTTAGATCTCAGTAATAATGAAATCTTCTCCACCCCTTCCGCCCCTTTCCGCTTTCTAAATAATCTAAAGTCGTTGTCTTTGGCAAATAATCACTTTCAAAGGCTGGTTCCTAGGTTCTTCTACATGCTCAAAAAATTGGACAAACTTGATATCAGTGGGAACCCATTGAAAGAGTTGGATCCCGAGAATCTCAAGGATCTTCGACCTCTGAGGATCTTACGTTTGGCAGATTGTGAGCTGCTGTCTTTACACTCTCTAGTTTACCAAAACCTTCCTAACATTCAGGAACTTGATCTTCGAAATAATAATTTCTTTTCTCTTGCTCCCGAAGAATTTAGACATCTTAAAAATCTCCGAATAGTGCGTCTTGATGGTAATTATTTAAGTGAAATTCGGGAGAAGACATTTGGAGGTCATCATCTGGAAATATTGGGATTGTCGAGGAACAACATTATCAAGTTACTACCTTGCTCGTTTTGTAACACCAGTGTCAAAATTTTAGACCTAAGCCGTAATCGGTTGTCTTCTTTAACTACTGATGTCTTCACCATGGTAAGTAACTCACTGGACACTTTGAATTTGGGGTTTAATCCCCTAGATAGTTATACTGTGTTTACTACCGTGAGTGTCTTACATCGACTGAGGAACTTGTCACTGGCAGGAATGGACATTGATAAACTTCTTCCAGAAACGTTTAACAGGAATCCAGAACTACGATACTTAAACTTGTCACATAACAATATTCCAGGAATCCCAAATGGATTCCTACAACCATTATCTCGTGTCGAAGTACTTGACCTCTCACACAACAAATTGCAAGAACTGACCTTTGAAGTGCTATCCACACTGAACAGCACTCCAAGCCTACGGGTATTTTCACTTCATTCCAACAGGTGGAGCTGTCTTGAGTGTAATGTAAGTCCACTTCAGGAATACTTCAATCAGTCTGACTTGTACGAAAAAATCTGTCAGAGTAAAGGCGATTGTTTAAAATGCGCAACACCTCTTCAATTGGCCGGACGAGGAATGATGAGTGTTCAGAGGGAAGAACTGAAGCTGTGTGCTATATCTTTACCTCAATCACACGTAGGAGTGAACGCCTCCAAAATAGGAACGATCATCGCTGTCGTCATCATAGTTATTTTAGTACTGGTTATTGCGTCAGCGATTATGATCTACAAACGACAGAGTGCGGATTATTATACTCACGAGCAGGAAAGAGTAGAGAACGCCGCATACGATAATATTGCCGTCGTCGACAAAAATGGTGGACTACAAATGGACAAAGTCCAGGAGAGCATGCTGTTCACCGTCTGTTTGACTCTATTCGCCTCGCAATTTGTGCTTGACGATGGAGTTACGTGATTATCGTGACAGTGTCGGACTTCACCCAAGTCAGATGAGCTCAAGTTGTGCTTGTAGTGTCACCTGTGTCAGTTAAAAAATTGCAAAATATCCAGAATTGGCTACTTAACGAGGTGCAGAGTAATGACAGAGAGAGAGAGTCTAAGCTGATCAGCGAGTAAGTCACGTGAATGGTGTCTCAGTAATGGTTTCTAAGAAGTCAAGAAAAAAAGACATTATACATTTGTAAGCCAATAAATACTGACAGGAACGGATTCTCGAGTTAGTAAAATTACATCAATGTCAAAATTTTCCTAACTAGACGCTTATATTGATTGCTTTTGTCCGCAGTGAAAATTATATCTAATTTAGATAGTCAAGTTGCTTCAGTTACTTACCTCAATAAAGTTGTTGAGGCATTAAAGTCTATTGTTCTGCTACACATAGGTAATGCAGAGATAAATGTGTTAATTTCATATCACTGTTATCTATATCCCTATAGTTTAACGTAACTATGTAGACGCTCTGCGAGGTATTTTGAGAGATATATTAATGTTTAAATTGTTTTTTCAATCATTTACCAAATGTGTAAATCATGACGTATAAAAGGGTCTAAAGAAGTAATAAATGTAATCATTAAAAGCTATTATATTTAACTGTGTAATATTACATTAATATAATATTACATGATATAATGGATCAAAACCGGAATATTACAGTGAAAACCTCTTTTAGGTTTTGTATTCTTTAAAATGACAATATAACCTAACGCTGAATGAATTAATATATTTTCAAATTCGTATTTATTTTTATAAATTTTATTTGAACGTTAAATTGAAGAAACCCATTATGGCTTTTTGTTGTTGTTGTTGTTGTTGTAAAAGTCAACGTATGGTTATTAGTAATTACTCATAATGTGGTTTCTAATTAAAACCAAATTAAATTAAATTAACTAAAGATGGCAATATATTAAAATCACAAAATTTATGGTTGGACAAAGCCTAAAAAATGTGAGGGCTGGAGAACGTTTAAACATATTGGAGTAAGTTTTTAATGTAGTCTAAATTTACTAGTCACATGTTATTAAACCCTTTGAAAGGTTAGGGACCAATAATATATTGCTTTTCTGTTGTATTATTCTTTTGGTATAATTGTTTAATAGAGTTACTTAGTGATACTTCTTACTCTTTGGGATACGTCATCTTAAATAATCATTATATAAATAATCAATTATATTACAAAGTAGGCTTGATATTATAAGAGTTATTTTAGTTTAATTATTCAGTTCCATCTGTCTCAATGTTCGTTATAATCGCCCCCGTAGGTCAAAGTCCTGAGTGAAAATGACTTCAATAAGTCAGAACCAATTTTTTTTATTTAGTTTTTCTTTTCGGATGTGTTTTGATGACTAACATAAATTGTTATTGAAAGTTATGAATAGTTATTCCGAAGGTTTTAAAAGTAGAGAAGACAAGATTTTTCCTCTTTTCATAAATTAATCAGTTTAGAGAAACCTATTCGTGTTTGTTTGTTACTTTCATTAGAAAGTGTTTGTCATGTAAATTACAACTAAATACAGTATGTTTGTTTTAATAAGTGTGAACAATAAGTTCGTGTGTTATTGTTGTTTTCTTGTAATATTTAACGAAACAGGCAACTTCCACGCATGTGCCATGTAGAAAACAGAACGAGGCTTAGCAACAGGTTTAAACATGTAGGAAACAAAACGAGGCTTAGCAGCAGGGTTAAGCTTAATGTAGAAAACAGAACGAGGCTCAGTAGCAGGTTTAAGCTTAACGTAGAAAACAGAATGAGGCTTAGCAGCAGGTTTAAGCTTAATGTAGGAAACAAAACGAGGCCTAGCAGCAGGTTTTAGCTTACAGATAAATAAGTTTGTTGATTTTATCCAATGCAGTGTTGTGATGTAACATCTTTCTATTCAAAATATGATTAATTCTTATCTTTAGAGCAAAATTAGGAACCTATCAACACCAAATATCTGTGAACACTTTAATTCTTGAAATAATTCAACTTGCTAAATTATAATGTTTTATTTAGTAGTATAGGTTAAAACTGGTGTCGTATATGTATATACATATATGTTTAGTGGTCGTACGTTCCATCACGTCGTCATCTTGGATGAAACCGTATTCTTATTAGGTTTTTATTTTATTGTTCATAAACTATATCCATTATAGAGCTTTTATCAATAAACTGTTAAATTTCAGTGGTTCTAGAAATTCTAGATTTTTTTCTGTCCTTGTTTAGGAAATAGAATCAATACTTTCTACAACATAACATTAGCTTCGTAGATCGATTGTTATTGATTTTTAATAGATGAACTTTTTAATCTTGGAAATAAAATTAACAATTTTAGGCTTAATCTACGACTGTCGAATATTGAAGATCTTTCGTTAAAGTTTCAAGAAATATTTACACAGTTACGTTTCTTAAAAAACATCTTTAAAATTTTGTGTTTAGTTAAAACGCAACAACACTTGACAGATGTCAAATAAACCACGTTTAATAATACATGCTAAATGAAACCAAATCAATGTATCGTAATTTTTGTGCTTGAAATATGTACGAAAAGTTTTTTCTTCGTTACAATAAACAGAATCGAATCGCATTGTACGCAGTGAAACCAATAGGCCTAACGTTATGATCCATAAAGTAACATAGGCAACATTAAGATTTATTGACCTGGATCATTTGTCGTCGTTTATAACAAGTAAATGGAAGTTCTATTAGGAACACACATAGAGAACCAGTAACGAAGTGGAAGGATTAGTCGGCCAAAATGTAATCGTTGCCCATTGCACCAATATTCCATCTTCATGAGAGCCCAACAAATTGCACCTTTTATAAGTATGTTTACTCAAAAAACAACAACAAAAAACTAGCACAATTTCGTTTTCACTGGTTAATCTAGAAAATGGTCATCTTTATTGCTATAATTTGAGATACCATCGTAACCATAAATAATCTCTAAAACGCCACTTGAAAAGTTTCACACCTTCTGAATGGATAGTCTTAAGACTAACAAACATGTCAGCTATTTTTAGTAATAGTTCGTGTTGTGGTATTAGTATCTTTGACACGCCATAGGTAACGAGTGCAAATAAAACATAAAACATACTTTAACCTGAAAAGTATTTATATAAAACAAAATATTTCCTTTATAACTAAACATAGATTTAGGCAGTTTATAAAAAATAGTGGGAAATAATGACGTAGAGAACATCCATAACAAACCCTTCTGATATCTCAATAACACAACTGGTCTAACTTTCTAATCCATAATAAACTCTTCTGATATCTCAGTAATATAACTGATCTAACTTTCTAATCCATAACAAACTCTTTTGATATATCAATAACACAACTGGTCTAACTTTGTAATCCATAACACACTCTTCTGATATCACAATAACACAACTGGTCTAACTTTGTAATCCATAATAAACTCTTCTGATATCTCAGTAATATAACTGATCTAACTTTCTAATCCATAACAAACTCTTTTGATATATCAATAACACAACTGATCTAACTTTCTAATCCATAACAAACCCTTCTGATATATCAATAACACAACTGGTCTAACTTTCTAATCCATAAAACACTCTTCTGATATCACAATAACACAACTGATCTAACTTTATAATCCATAACAAACTCTTCTGATACCTCCTACTTATCACCCTACAGAACCAGGACCTTTGTTCTCCTACTTATCACCCTACAGAACCAGGACCTTTGTTCACCTACATATCACCTTACAGAACCTGGACCTTTGTTCTCCTTCTTATCACCTTACAGAACCAGGACCTTTGTTCACCTACATATCACCTTACAGAACCTGGACCTTTGTTCTCCTACCTCCTACTTATCACTCTACAGAACCAGGACCTTTGTTCTCCTACTTATTACCCTACAGAACCAGGACCTTTGTTCTCCTACTTATCACCCTACAAAACCGGGACCTTTGTTCTCCTAGCTCCTACTTATCACTCTACAGAACCAGGACCTTTGTTCTCCTACTTATCACCCTACAGAACCGGGACCTTTGTTCTCCTAGCTCCTACTTATCACCCTACAGAACCAAGACCTTTGTTCACCTACCTCCTACTTATCAACCTACAGAACCAGGACCTTTATTCACCTACCTCCTACTTATCAACCTACAGAATCAGGACCTTTGTTCACCTACCTCCTACTTATCAACCTACAGAACCAGGACCTTTGTTCTCCTACTTATCACCCTACAGAACCAGGACCTTTGTTCACCTACCTCCTACTTATCACCCTACAGAACCAGGACCTTTGTTCTCCTACCTCCTACTTATCACTCTACAGAACCAGGACCTTTGTTTCTTAAATGAAGCATTGAGGAGAAGAGATGTTTTTTATAATGAATTGAATGTGCTTCGAAATAAAAAAAATGGCGGAACAATAATTTTTGGTAAATTTTGATAGACACAAATATTTCAATTTTACTCAGTTTTCTTATTAAAGTTCTTAATAGATAAATGTTAATAACTGGATTTTTAATAAACCTAGAAAAATGACGATATTACAAAATAGAATACTCAGTTGTGTCAGTTTTTTTTTCGGGAATCACAGGAAGTTAAAAAAAAACAACAACAAGTTTTGGAACTAGTTTACCAAAAGAGTTTTGGAAACTAGTTTACCAGAATAGTTTTGGAAACTAGTTTACCAGAATAGTTTTGGATTTTTTTGCATAAACCTTCTGCAACTATATTATCATGCAAACTGGAAGAAACAAAAACTACTAGTTTGAATATTATGGATCTCTTACTTGCTGTAAGCAAAAACCCTACAAACGTCAGTTAGTGTCTGCGCATGCGTTATGATGTCGTATTCTATTTACTAAAACTTTTTTCGAGAACGTCAAAAATTCGTTTCGTAACAGTCATAAGGAAGGATATTTCTCAAGAATTAAGAATGTGTTCAAACGAAACTTATTTCAAATTTAAAACACATAAAGTGTAATAAGT